GGATGGCCTGAGGGTGAGTACATTTTCAAAAAGTTAACTATTCCTTTAATTAGTACAGTTACTAAGTGGATGCTTCCCTTTGCATAGTTCCACTTAAAGGCTGATTGGTGTAGTGAATGGGCGTCTCACCTCCAGATGTCATTCATCTCCTGTGGCATGAGATCATCGCTGTCCTCTTTGGGGAACATGGCAAATCCACCCACAGCATAGAGGACACCACCCACAGTGACCAGGCTAAGCGAACTACGGTCCTGGGGAAACGCCACAAACTCTGACCACCTGGAAGATATAGAGTGCTGTGGTTAAATATCAGTTTATTGCAAGCAAATTGTGATGGGTTTGTCCCACAAGTCAATGCATACAATAAGCCTCAGATAATACCGCAGGTTGTTTAGCATATATTGTATGTGGCCACACACTTACTTGTTGGTTTTGATGTCATAGACCTCAGCGCTGCCTGTGAGGCCAGTGTCAGTCACACCAGCTGCCACGTAGATCTTGTTTTTGTGAATTGTGACCCCAAAGAGTGAGCGTGCAGTATTTAATGGAGCCAGATCCTTCCACTGATGCTTTTTAGTGTCGTACGCACACACTTTGTTCAAACACTCTCTATAAAATAAGACAAATGTGTTTATAAATGTGAGATACAGGATCAGCCTTACTACTAGCTATAATATTGAATGCATATTCCAACATGAAGTGTAGAATTAGCTTAGAAACGTACTTGTTCTCTCCCTTTCCTCCAATTACATAGATCATTTCATTATGAGATACTACTCCATGGCCATATACTGGGTAGGGAAGAGGATCTGACTCTGCCCATTTAAGATACCTTAAAAAAAACAGGATTATTTAAAGTGCACTGGGGGAAAAAATGGTGTAGAAACAATTTTCAGCAGTCAACTGCTAGATTTCACAAATAATTACAGAAGAAATGGCAAGTAAAGCACTGAATTAAAATTTTGAAGTAGAAAGACTGAAATAGTATTTTCTTGTCAAATATATTCCAATAATACTGGAATACTTTTTTAAAAAATAATTTTTTACAGTGTATCTGTTGGGAAGATCCAATAAACATAAAAGACAAATGTACAGCTAATATTCAAATAATTCATGTGGCATCAGTAAACATACTGTCTGTCGTAAACCATGACTGTGTCCAGAATGTGTTCTCCTTCCTTCATTTCTTTCCCTCCAATAACAAAGATGAAGTTTTCTGCCTCTCCCATGCTAAATAGGAAGCGGGGGGAGGGTATGGGAGGCATGCCCATCCAGTCTGATGTTGCAGGGTCAAACTGTCAGATGTAATGACAATATATCATCCACTTTGTTATACGTGACAGTCTACATGAGCATTTGCTGATAATTTAAAGACCCCATGAAATCAAAATGAGAGTTTTGTGCCTTTTAGTGCATGTCTGTTAGCTTTAAAGTTAAACACAAAACATTTCTGTAACGTTGGGCATGGTTCCTGTTTGAATATTTGAGGAACCAATTATTTTATAAACATTGCAAGGAGGGTGATTTTGTGTGATAACCTGCTAAGTACTAATGGACAATGTTTTCTAATGGTTACTTTTAGGTTTTAGAACCATAAATTAACCTTCCCAGAATGTTCTGAGATGTTAGTGTCTATTGTATTATATGAAGTTCCAAACAGGTTAGTGAGGAGCCTAATCATTCGGTTCTGTCAATCATCATTACGAGCCTAATAAGCAGCAGTCATTGCACCGTCCCAGCGACAATTCTTCTGACATCCTTCCACCTCCCCATCTCCTCCTCTATTTCTGTTATTCTCCCTCTTTTTAGTACCACAATGGGGTGGTTGAACTCACAGCTCAACCCGAGCCTCGCGTTTAAGACTCTGTCGAGGACAGCAAGCCAGGTTAATTTACCAATAACTATTAAGATTGGATGGGCAGGTGAACTTGTGAAATGGTTATATATGTTATTGTACTCTAAACATTGACTACATACATTTTAGAATACTTAAAATGAAAAATAAAGCATTGCATTTAAAATACTGTCTATAAAATAATGGGAAAACAAATTGTAAAAAAATATTGATGACTCATTCTGAACTACACACATTTTTGCCCAATCAAAAAAGCTCTCTAGAATGAGAACATCCCTTCCCCTAATACCACTTATGACTGGCTAGCAAATAGCAAGTCTTGTGATGCATGCTACAAGTCACAAGACTCATACAAGTCATCCCCAACAAATGCAAAACTTTCCCTTAACGTTACGGTATAGTTCCAGTTTGGTTATTTCTTTGGGCACCAATTACGTACATTCTAGAAACACTGTTAAAACCTAGCTAAACATCTTGGGTTTTCAACAAGAGACAATCCCACCTAGTTTCATAGAATACCAATGATTCCATGGGGTCTTTACTTTCACTAATATCTAAATATATAGGTAAATATAGCTGGGTAGACAAAAACAAAAAGATATCTTTACTAATGTTGTCTATGATTTATGTACACTACATAAACTTCACTATGTGTAGAATCCATGACTCTGAGAAAAGAATGAATGAAAGAAGTAAATGAAGGAAGTCCTTTACCTGCAAAAAGTATGAATAGATCTGTTCGTCTTTGCTCTGCTCATCAAAAAAGAGTCCACCTGCCACAAATATCTGATTTTCTTTTGTTACCAGACTGCAGTGGTTTTTAGGAATTTGGTTGGAGAGTGACGCCACATAACAATCGTTTCCCGTTGGGTCATAAGCCACTGATGCAGTGCCATTGATCAAGAAGATCAAGTCTCTCAGGAACATGCCGAACCGCAGATTGTCATTCAAGATTCCTGGAAGTAGCTCCTCCTGCTCTTCTTCCTCCTCTTCGTCTCCCTTCTTCTCTCCTTCCTCACCAGCACTCTTTTTGCTTTTGGTCTTCTTGACTTCAGGAAGCTTGCCAGCATGGGCGTCTTTGACCAGTTGCAGTTTCTTGGTGATCTCTGGGTTTGAGCTCAACCATTCATGTTTCTCCACGTTTTTGGTGAAGTAGTCCTTGGGAACCAGACGTAATCTGACGCAATCCAGCAGTCCCATTAGGTCTTCCAGTCTCTTCTCTTGGTCATGTCCAACCCACTTGATCAAAGCCTCAAAAACGTCTTGCTCCGTTTCTACATTCAAAGAGTCCGAAGCGATAATGGCTCCCAATTCACTTGGAGTCAGTTGCAGGAATTCTTCATCACGAGCAATTAACTGGAAGCGTTCACAAGCGAAGTTCCTCGCCGATATGGCCAGACGAGGACAATCCAGCATCAGGCCTAGTCGAAAAATTGCCAAACAGTTGCTCAAACTCAGTCTCTTTTGCAGGAATGAGACACATACAGTGAAAATCGAGGGGATCTGAAGCATGTTGGCCAGAGCGAAGATGTCTTGTACGTTTTGTTCCGTCACATTGATGTTCGAGGTGTAGAGGTACTTCAAGATTATACCCATGACTCCAGGCTCCACATCCTCCAATGCAATCTCCTTCTGTTTACTCTCCTCCACACCTGACTTAAAGAAAGCTCTGAAGTACGAGCTGCAAGCAGCCAGGACCAACCGGTGGCAGGGAAACTCCTTGTCTTTGATCTTCAACACACAGTCAACCATCATATCGCTCTCCAGAAGATCGTATAGACCATCCTGCAGCAGGGTTTGCTGGTACATGCGCGGCTCCTCCATGGGATCTATGGGTAGAGCCATATTGATCGTGGAGTATCCCTGTCGGTCACAGTGAAGTCAATGGCTAGTCCAGCGGTCTCTGTACCACACTTCTGTTACTGGCTGAAAAGACGAAGAAGGGGCCGAATCAGTTCCGCGTTGCTGTCGGGACTTCAGTCTTCATCAGCTGTCCCAATACTTCAACCAAACTCCAACTGGGGGCTATTTATAGATCCTTCACAAAGATGTGGAATCCATACTTGTACATGTGAAACACAACCCCCTGCCCTGTGCAACAGCTGACACACTTCCCCATGCAAGACAGCAGTCAGAAGAAACACTGGCCTTCTGGGTGAGATCACAGACCACTACATGGTACCTTTATGGGACTATGAATCACCCTCTTGACTTATTATTTTTATAGACTATATTATTGATAAAGAGGCATTTCATTACAGAGATTCTCATCTAGTAATACTGCTTATAGTTATACAAAACTGTGCTTTTTTATATTAGGTAACACTTTATTTTAAGGTGATGTAGTTAAATGTACTTACTACAGTTACAGCAGTAAATTATGCATACTTACAAGCAACTAACCCTAAACCAAACCCTAACCTTAATGCTATAGTAAGTACATGAAGATAATAGATATTACTCAGTGCTTCATGTAATTACACTACAACAATGTCACCTTTAAATAAAATGTAACCAAATAATCTTATATATTGCAAAGCCTTGTGTGCTAGTTCTTGTACAAGTTAAGCTAATATTTTAACATATTGGCTGAACTGCATTTTCTAACATAGCAAATTATATATATTTAAACAGTATATATAAAAAGTAACACAAAAATATAGGGCCAACTTCTGTTTTTCTGTTTTATTTCTAAGAAAAATGGATAATATCAATAGTTCATTCACGGTCACAGGTTACCTTAATGGTTGAACAAACAGAAGAAAGCTTATGCCAGTTCATATAAATATCCTAGAGTGAAAAGGTTTAATGACATCAAAGATCTTGAATGTTCTCAGTGACATTTATGCTTTTGTTAAGAGTCACAGTTTAATTTAAGCGACCACGTTGTCATGCAGGATGAGTGTCCCAGATGATCGATCTCTGTCAATTACAACTTTGCCATTTCCTTATTTGTAGAAATTTCAAACATGAGGTTCCCAAAAAAACATTTTTAAAAAACTAGGTGAAAAAAAGACATACACATAATCACTAATGAAGATGACTTTAATGCATATCACAAATTCGTAAAACAGTCTTTGTGATTGTTAGTTAGTTTTTAAGTACACATTAGTAATATATATATTATGTATTATATTCATAATTTAAAAAGCAGCCAGTGAGAGTAAAGTCTGTAATGTTGAAAATAATCTGTAAAAACTTAAATAGCTGTTTCGACTCTTTTCTTACAGTACTGTCATTAAAACAATTTTCTCCATATTTCTAGATTATCATTGTCTGCCGAATTCACAAGAAGACACAAAATGTGTAAGTAAACCATTGAGGTTTCATCAAAATGTAACCATCATGTGTAATCTCTACTCTGCCTTTTGCTTGTTTGGGTCCACAGGCTGGGTGGCAGCAGCAGCAGCGTCTGTCTGGGTGGTGCTGGGATCTGTGGGAGTGGGTGCAGGAGTGGGGGCTGGAGGGGGGATTGGGTCTGGATCATCAATCAAAGCCTGTCTTCTTTCCCTTTCCTTAATCAGCTGAATCAAGCAGTAGGTAACGAACATCACAGTGATGGTGGTGAAGGGGAAACCTAAGAAACAATATACAGTTTGATTTAAGGATAATATATATTTGAAATAACAGGAATAGAACATCAAAAAAATTTGAATTTTTTAAAAATTATTATTATTTACTCGCTCCAAAAGGGTTGTATTCAAAATTGTTAAAAGATAAAAATAAAAAAGAAACCATCAAATAAAATATAAATTGTAAAATAAAATATAAAGTAAAAATACAATATACAAATTAACTTCTTACAACATTACGATTACAATTATATTAAATCGTTTGGTTTTTAAAATGCGTTTAAATTGCTCAAATATCACCAGTATTTCACCTTTCAGTAACAATCTCTTGGCAACCAAATTGGCAAATTCAAGACTATTCAGGACCAGGACATTGTAAAGGACAATTGTCCAGAAGTTGAAGGCATTAAACACAGCCCTGATCCTGCGTGACATAGATTCTGATATCGCCATCTGTGGGTGGATGGAAAGATTTCTAGATGAGATTATTGCTTATATTACCAGCAATTTAACATCCAACCACTAGAGAGCGCTCTAGAGAACATTTTTAGCAGCAGTAATTTAACATTTAACCACTAGAGAGAGCTCTAGAGAACATTTTTAGCAGCAGTAATTTAACATTTAACCACTAGAGAGAGCTCTAGAGAACATTTTTAGCAGCAGTAATTTAACATTTAACCACTAGAGAGCGCTCTAGAGAACATTTTTAGCAGCAGTAATTTAACATTTAACCACTAGAGAGCGCTCTAGAGAACATTTTTAGCAGCAGTAATTTAACATTTAACCACTAGAGAGCGCTCTAGAGAACATTTTAGCAGCAGTAATTTAACATTTAACCACTAGAGAGAGCTCTAGAGAACATTTTTAGCAGCAGTAATTTAACATCCAACCACTAGAGAGAGTACTGGAGCATCCATGTTACAGTACATGACTAGAAAATCAAGCAAATTATTATTGGTCATCTTTCAACTTGCCTCAATAGAAATAAAAGGTTCCATGGTAAAGAACTTGGCGATCCACAATTCAAAATTAAGGCCAAAGCAGTTTAAGAAAGCCCAGATGAAAACCACCCAGCTCGGTCCCAGCCAGAGGGCTGTGATGCCAAACGTGCACAGAGAGCCTATCAGCTCATCCAAAACGTTGTCATGCTTCCCACCGAGATAGTTATAAACATAACTGTAAAGATGACAGCATTCTTTATTAAAATACTGGTGATTGAAACAGCATTGTGTTGGTTAAAAGTCTAATAAAAGTAAGAATGTCAGTCATACTTGCAGAGAAAGTCATTTATTCCTCGATCAAAGTGTCTGTAAAAAAAAAATAATATATATTTTTTTAATTTTCAGAATTATCAATACTATTTAATTTGACTGATTACATTAAAATTTTAATATAACTTTTAGAATAAAGAAACAAGAAAATAAATAATGACAAATTAGCTCACTCACGTCTCAGAGAACACATAAAGCATTGTAATGCATTTCGGTGGTTTGGGAGGGTCCAGATGATCCAGTCTTGATACTGTGTTTATCACTCCAAACATTACCGCGGTTTTCACCCAGTCATACACCAGATTTAAATAAGCCAATCCAGCTGCGTAGTGAAAGAAGAGAAAGACTATTGTGGTCTTTTGGACACTTATGAACTGCAAAGCATGTGAATACAAGCACACACATAGTTACCAAGGGCCCAGTCAGAGATGTGTTTAAGGAGCTTCATGTCACTAGGTATGGTCAGAATGTACATGAAGTGTAGGATGACCGCCACTATCATAATAACCCCCAGGTTTAGCAGGGCCTGAATAGAAATGTTCCACATCTCTCCATCCTTCCTTGTCAGGTTTGGGTTATTGGCCTGCAGGGGTCAAAGGGCAATGCTATAAAATCACAGTCGAATTATTTGGAAAATAATCAAACCAGTTAATTTAGTTACAGACCTGAATGTAAAACTTGTCGAAGGTCATGATGGGTCCAAAGTAAAAGAAGGGAAGGTAGAAGTTGTACTTGAGAAGCTCCAGGATGCTGTAGTTTCCATCTTTCCTCTCACAGTTCTCTAGAGCAAAACTCAAACACCGCATGATAGTAAACCCACAGCCGCCGTAGAACAGAAGAGGACGGAGCTCAAAACTACCAGACACAAACCCTGCCTGAAAAACAAGCCATCTCGAATGAACATAATCATAGATGTATAAGTAAAAAAATAAATGAAATAATGATCACTAATAATGATTAATTATGATAATAATATTCTATTTTATTTGAACAATTATTATGATCATCATTTCATTTCTAATAATCATCATCATAATTTATTAATTACTTTATTTATTAATACTACGTCATTTCATTTTAATAATAATTATTTTATTTTATTGTTTTATTTCACTTTTATTAATAATAATTATTATTATTATATTATTGTCAGAATTTCATTTCTTGTCATTTTAAAAATTATTATTATCTATACATTATTGTGACTATTTTAGGTTCAAGTGAAGATATGATGGATGAGCCATCTTATTAACATAATTATTGATATAGAATGAATAAATAAAATAAAATACATTATTATTATTATTGTTAATAAAAAAAGAATGCTTGTTTTCATTTTATTTTAGTTTTATTTTAACAGTGATTTTATTTTAACAATTATCATGATCATCGTCATCATTTATTTTATTTTAATAATAATACTTATTAAAAGTATATGATTCATGTATTTATTTTTATTTTTTTGCTGTAGCATTTTTATATTTCCAGAATGTCAGTGACATACCTGCCAGGAAATGAAGGGCTCCATTTTGAAAGTAGCCAGTGTAGTGAGTCCAGCGACAAAGCAGAGCCACCTGAGCTTGACCAGAGAGATGCTGTAGAGCAGCACACAGTGAGAGAGGATGAGCGTGACGTAGGCCCAGCCCATACTGGTGAAAACCGCCAGCATGCCATACACCATGAACACCAGAGATCTGTACTGTGGGATGAGAGAAGATGAGAGAATGAGCATCTCAGGTAGACTGTATGGAGTCACCTTTATTCATATAACATCGATTTATTTGGACTTTCAAGAGGCACCTGCGGAGCCAGCAAGGTGCAGATCTTGGCAAAGATCACATGACCTGAGAGTGCAAAGATGATATGTTCTCGAAACGTAGAGAACCACATCATCCACTCAACATCAGCTGTATCCTACAGTGTGACATGGATAAATCAGAGTCAATTACCACAATTTTATACATACCCATAATGTGAAATAATGCAGACAAAATCTCACCATTTTTCTACCAGAGTAATACCATCCTGACTGAACACTGGTCTTGAAGGTTTTTCTGTTGGAACTTGCTGGATATAGATAATCATGAGACAATGAATGCTCTATTCATTACTAAATATGATCAAATATTAATTTAAAGCAGGGTTTCCAAAACTGGTGTTCATGAGGAAATGAGTTAATGAAAACTAACAATTAAATCATAAACATTTTAAATAAATTAATAATTGTAAAATAAACCAAACCAAAATAAAGCATTTACTAAAAATACATTAAAAAAGATTAAATATTTGATTCGTTTACCTGCATGTCATGTAACTAATAATCGACATCAGAGACCAGTGAACATTCCAATGTGTTGTTAAATTATTTAAATATTATATTAAACTCTCAGAGGATCCTTCAAGTAAATATTTTGGTTAATTAATAGATATGTATAATATATGAGAAAAAAATACCAAAAATATACAAAAAACTATATATTCAATGCAGATTTGGTAGATTTTGTCACAAACCTATAATAATACCTCTTTCTCTTCTCTGCCACTCTGTTTTAGTCTCTCATTCTTTGGTATATTAATACTGACATATGATCCCTGCTGCGTACTTTGCATAGCTTTCTGAGGTTAGCGGATCGCTTCGCTGTCTTTTTCCTCATACAATATACAGTAGTACTATTTTTGTGCTCTAATGGCTATTTCTGTGTTTATGAGTGAGAAAAAGATCTCAAGTGCATGTTACAGTAAAATGGCAAAAGCCACACAGAAACCACTCCAGAAACTTTATTTGTAGAGGGACATCATTTTGGGGTCACATCAGAACAGTGTGCATGTGTTCATTTGTACTTACAGCTGGATACATCAAATATCCATCTGGCAGCCCAGAGCATCGCCATACACAGCACTACATTATAAAAGTAGAGCTCGTACCTCGGAAGAGCTGCTTTGACCCCCATTGTGTGCAGGATAGCCTAAGAGATTTTGGAAACGTGCAGTTAGAATGAATGCACATGTGAAAACAAATCTGGTCTCAAATTCAGTCATTCAAATATTTCCCAATCAAGACAGCCAATGAGTGATTAGGATCCGGCTAAGAATACAACTTGGTAATTGGTCAACTACTATGGGATGAAAGCAGTATTGTAGTGTTACTGTAGCTCAACTTGTAGAACATGACGCTAGCAACACCAAGGTCATAGGTTCACTTCCCAGGAACCAAATGAACTGAGATGTATGCTGTGAACATATGTCTCTTTGGATAAAGAGTTAAATCACATACATATAAATGGCATCAGTCATTACAATAGGAATTATATATTCAACACTTTGAAAAAATAAATAGATATTTAAAAAATGAAAATAATTTGATCTTTGTGGGCAGGGCAGAAGTTTCCAATGATTTGAATTGTGTGAGCAGGAAGCATCTACACTATGTGAGCTCTTGCTATTTTTAGCTGGGTTATTTTCTGCTCTCATTGTATTGACTGAAGCATCACACTAAACTATCGTTTTTACATTACAACCAAATCTTTATCTTTTTTAACCAGCAAATTATTATTTTGTCTGTTTCTCTTCTCGCTTCTCAGTCGAATACCATCCTGGTCTGCTTTATTGTGATGTTTGTTATTGTGAGAGGAGCCATGCAGGTAAGTTAGAAGCTTATTAGTTCAACTCTTTTCTCTGATATTTGACATAAATGTTAGCAGGTCATGCGCTGCACAGAGGTGCCAAGCAGATTTTAGAAACACCTGTTGTACTAACCTTGAGCACAGCAATGCCACCGTAACCCAAATACTGAAAAATCCACTTGAACTTAAAATAATCGCAATAATGGGAAGAAAAGATCAGCTAAATAATAGTCTAATGCATCCCCTGTTTCTACAAAGTGTCAGTTGGGTGCACAAACTGCCTGTTGGGCAGTTGCGGACAGTTAAAGGTGAATGGGAGATGTTGTAAATAAAACAAAGATTATTGGAGTGCATTTAACAAAAAAATACTATTTAAGCCTTTCTACTTCAAAATTTCAAGTGTAATTAATTGTGCTACTTGCCAATTTGTAATAAATTGTGAATTTACTAGCGATATCTGATTGAAAACACCTAATTGTTTCCACACCAAATTATTTTTCAAAGGAACTTTTAAAAAGTCACTTTAACATAAAATCCTTAAAAAAACGTTCTCAAACAGAGGGCTAGGGCCCACTATGGGGCGTCATGACAAAAATGACACCGTAAAAAATGATTTGTTGTAAATAAAACAAAGATTATTGGAGTGCATTTAACAAAAAAATACTATTTAAGCCTTTCTACTTCAAAACTTCAAGTGTAATTAATTGTGCTACTTGCCAATTTGTAATAAATTATGAATTTACTAGCGATATCTGATTGAAAACACCTAATTGTTTCCACACCAAATTATTTTTCAAAGGAACTTTTAAAGTCACTTTAACATAAAATCCTTAAAAAAAAACACATAAAATCAATATGGAAATCAAAATGTATTTATATTAAAATAATAATAATAAATTAAATAACCACCCTCCCCCCCTCAATAACTGTTGTTTTTAAATGAACATACAGTTCTTGAAACTTAATTCACAAAAATAATTAGTTAATTAATATACCAATACTCAGAATTCTGTTCATAAAAACATTTTAAAACAAGCCTATAATAACCTGTATTGGGGAGGCATGATCAAAAAATTGACTGAACACATTGTTATAGGTCCAGAAAGTGCTGGTTTGATTTATTTGACCATACATGTGATTCATGCCTTCATTTATCAACCCATGGACAGGAATGGTTGAACCCTTTTACTAGCACAGTAACCTAATCACAGTCATCCTTAGGTCCTTACAGAGCTTTCAAGGAGTACTTGATTACAGTGGTTCCAGTTGTGTGACCATCTGGTGCACATTGAACGGTTGTATATTATAATTGCCATAAATGTGATCCTATGTATGCAAATGTAAAAATATCTGTGACTGCCTCGAGTGAAAAAGCAGATGAGATAGACAGTCTACTCCTCCACAGTTTCCTTTTTGCTGGTCTCCTGGCCTTCAAAGATCGGGTACTTGCTTTCCACCTCTGTCCATGTGATGGCACCATTGGCCAGGTCACGAACGATTTCGGGCAATTCACTAACCTGTAAATAAACATATGTATCTCAGCAAAATAGTCAACATGCGCTGCCTCAGTGAATGAAATGAAGACACAAACATGACCAACTGCTTTACCTCAGCCCTGATCTGCCTCATGGAGTCACGGTCTCTCAGAGTGGCCGTGTGGGGCGTCTTATTAACCGTGTCAAAATCGATGGTGATACCAAATGCCACACCAATCTCATCCGTTCTGGCATAGCGTCTACCAATAGATCCTGAGGAATCATCCACCTTGTGGGAGACACCATTCCTGGTCAAGGCTTCAGCTGTAGAGTGAAGCAAAACATGAATCATTACAGAATTATCATTCAGATATTATTGATACAATTTTATAAATGGGAGTAGAGATGTTATTACTCACATAATTCTCGAACAAATGGCATAAATTCCTGATTTTGGCTCAATGGAAGGACGGAGCATTTGTATGGTGCAACAGTGGCAGGGAAGCTGAAATACTGAAGAGAAAGAAGCAAACTTCATAAATAAAGCAAGACAAACATATGAAATGATTCATTATAGAATATTACAGCTACTGCATATACCGTTCTTTGCTCATCCCCCTCCCTGATACGGAATGTGTGCTCAAAGATGGAATACATGATTCTCCCGATGCCGAAAGAGGGTTCGATCACATTAGGAACAACCTCCTCAACTGTGGAGCAAGACAAAGTCAATTAAAACCTCTGACATATTCTTGTTATGTTGACATTAAAATCGTAGCTTCTTCCTCTTACCGTGCAGGGTCTTCTGGAACCTCTTGACGTTAACCATGTCTTTGGTGAGCTTGAAAGTCTTGCCCTCTGTCTCAATGGTGAACTCACTGCAATGACAGAGGAAACCACTGAATGAACAGAATAACATTGGTAAGCACTACGGACTGAGAAAAATACCTATTTTAGCTCTGACTATTGGTTAAAAACCCTATGATATTGCTACTTCAAATAAATTCCTCAACAAAATATTAAGCAGCACAACCGTTTTTAACATTGATAATAAGACATCAACATATTAGAATGATTTCTTAAGAATCATGTAACACTGAAGACTGGAGCAATGATGATGAAAATTCAGAATCCTGAATGCTGGGGGGGAAAAAAAGGCTGTTTTCACTAATCTGACACCAAACCTCAAACTTTTAAACGATAATGTATCTGCCTTTATATTGTGAATCTTCATATTTGGGGGTCATTGGAATT